AAAAAAATATATATCAATATAATATTAGGGACGGGACGTCTCGAGGGTAATCTAGTGTCCCGTCTTGTCTCAAATCCCTTTCTTGTCCAGTCTCAATTATTTTTGGGCAAGACGAGACCTATCTTAATATGACAAAGATGAAGTTGTAACCTCCTTGAAGTTAAACCATAAATAACTCTAAATCATAGTAATCTAAGGTTTTAAAAAGAAAATTTCTCAAAACTATTCCAAAGGAATCCTAATTTGTCAATTCAAATCCCAAATATAATTTAAGGACTCCAAATCAGAGTTTTAAAAACAAAGCGGAAGCTTAAAAATTAATTGAGACCCAAATAATGAATTTTAAAAACTCTAAAACAAATTCTGTGCAGAAATGACATGTGTGCTGTAGCTTATGGTCAATGTACCGTGATGTGTCTTCTCTGTGTCATGTGCTGTGGCGCATTGCATGAAATTTAACAGATCAGTGCTATTATTTGATAGCACTGGGAGCGAACTTTCGACGCGTCCCAAATTTTCGTCCGACATCTGATTGAAGTGGTTTCGGTGTCTACATAGAGCTTTCTCCTAGTCCTATCCACGAGTTTACAACAAAAACTCACTAACATATGGCACAAAATACACTAGTTATACACAAAATCATGCAAGTAGTGTATAAATCATATCGATTAATCCTAGTTGGCAAATACATTAACAAATACACATGTAAATAATAAAAGAAAGGCATATAGAGGATTACTCCACCAATCCTAAGCCTCTGTATGTTTTCCTAACTTGGATCCGATGAGCTAGGTCTTGAAAATATTGAGAATTGAGGGGTGAGTACAACAACTCAGTAACCAAGTTTCACTTAACCCTTACAGTTATATATTAATTGTAAATAGATGTAATTAGGCAAATAAACACATACATTGCATAACACTAGGCCATGGTTCACAAAATTAACAACCATGTGATTGGGCTTTCCATAAAACACCATATCATGATATTTTCAAAAACATAACTGGGTCGTAAAAATAACAACCATACACTCTTAACAAGTGCCGGACCACAAAACTAACAAAAATGTGGCTAGACTTATATACATGGTCATATGCCAACCTTATATCCTCCTATTACTTTCGATATGAAACCCGTGGCTATCACGTGGCTACGTCCTTTATGGACTAACCTAGCATTTCACTTGTGAGGGGCTACTGGGCCAGGGTGAACTCACTCACTTATGTAATTCAATTTCCCCTAATACTAGCAACTATGGGATGTCGTACCCCTAATCTAGCCTTTTCATGAACCAGTAGAGACTAGTTAGATTTGACTCCCTCATAGAACAAATGGGACAGTTCTGAATCAATCCTGAAACAAGGGTTACCTCTCAATTTCAACGGTCGATGCCAAGACTAGTTTTCAATTCTAACGGTCTCTGCCAATATCACGTGGATTTTCAACCAATCTACTCTTCTCCCTTGGCGAATTCTCACCAATGATCATGCTATGCACATTTCACACTTAATATGCATTTTAACAATCATTTCTTAACACATAAACTCACATAACACAAATACTCCACACTTTAACACATAATTCATCACAATTTTCCACCCATAGTACTAAATTATAAGTAATTTCATAAAACATCAAGGGTGGTAGAATCAAGGTTTTCTTTCCCAAAAACCATTTCACAAATCAAGCACTTTGTCAATATGCATCATTAATTTAACTCAAATCATATTTTACAACACAATTAACGTACAACTATAAAAATTAAGTTTTTCTCAATTACCTCAAATCTTTGAGAGGTCAAAAGTTTACCCCTCATTATACCAACTTTTTAAAGCTTTAACAAGCTCGAATGGTGCCAAAATAGACCTCTCTATAACCATATCACAAGGGTATCATCATTATTTAGCTATTGAAACTTTATCAACATAAAACTCCACATATACTATTTTTATCAACTTATAATCAATACCCATTCTTACTCAATGGGCTTATTGGATTCCATAAATGAACATTATCATTAATAACACCTCAAACTATCATGAATGCACATTAACCTCTCCCAACTACCTCATAAATACCAATTTTTGGGTATTAAATGCTCCTATAAACCAACTACTTTCAAAATCATTAATGTGGTGTTTCAATACATTAAACAATTTCTATTTAACTTATTTTAACCAATGGAATTGAACCCATACTCCTATGGACCGAAAATCCATCTCCTAACTCAAACCTTATCACAAATCATCATAAATGAGGGAGAGAGGGGAAGAAGAAAGCACCATAATCTTACCTTGAGTGTTTGAGAGCTTTAATTTATCAACGATGGAACTAAATTTTATGCCCTAACAGAGCCAAAACTGAGCTCTTTGTTTTCTTTCTCTTTTTCTCTTTTGTTTTCACGCAACTCACAAGCTGATTTATCTAATTTTTGGCCGTGCATCGCGATGCACGATGCCTTCCGCCATTGTGCATGGCACAAAGGAGCCCGTTACATTTAAATTGTCTTCATGAGCCGCGGTAGACCAACCACGTGCTGCGGAGTGTGGCACAGAAAATAATTCTTCACTTTTTCATCCTTTTTCCTTACACTAGTGGCCTATCATCAATCCAGACCCAATTTTAGGGCTGAAATCACATCAATTATGTCAAGTTAAGCCCCTCTGGCCATACATCTCATTAATTCACTAATTACTCTCATTAGGTTAATAAATCAGGATTAAAATTTTTCGGATGTTACAGAAATCACCCAAGTTGAATACCCCTATCTTTATTTTGAAAATTTAAAAAGGAAAACTCACAATTTAACTATTTTCCAAACTATTTTTGGGGTTTCAGAGCCCAAGTTTAAAAGTTCTTTTTCAATTTTATCCTATTTTTAAATCTCAATCAATACTATAAAAATATGATAAAAATGGTAAAATTATTTTAATATTTTATATAAAATTTATATGAAGTTATATTATTCATAAATTAAGAATAGCTAGGAAGACTCATTTTACTTTGTAATTACTTTTATTTTATTAATATCATTTGACTTAAAAAAAGAATTGTAAGACTCATTTTAAATAAAATTTTTAATGTAATTATATCAGGAATTTTTTTTCATTGTATACTATAAATGATTTTCATGCATTGTATTAGAATCAAATCCTCCATTTAGAGACATAAAATTTTTTTGATTTGTTAAAATATAAATTCATATTATATTATAACTTCTTTATAATTTCAAATTTTTTCTACACCTTAACTATTTGAAATTTAACCTACTCTATCCTTCTTGTTTTTATTATTAGTGCCTTTGTTAGTCTTGTCACTCTTCTCATTTTCATCCTTGTCTCTTACTAATTTAAACATATAACTAAGCTTGTCACTTTTAATATTTTTTTGCTTTGAATTTCAACTCAGCTCTTTTTTAGCTTTATAGTTTTTTATGCTATCTAAATAATAGATTTTAAATGTAAAATTTAAATTTAAATCCATCAATCCAAATGTGACTTAAAGATATGTTTTGTCTTAAATTTTAAAAATATCACTCCAAAAAAAAGAGTTTTTTTTTCTTCGGTGGCTGAAAATGAGAAAAACCTTATTAATATTATATGGGTTGATGGCTCATTTTACTAGATATAAACTGCTAAGAACAAATACAACATGTCAATATAAGGCATGATCTCATTGTTGGGCTTATGAGACAGCCCATATATTTAGGGTGACAAGGTATTTGGATAGAGGAATCTAGGGGATAGATTTAGATAGAATCAATAATTTGAATCAAGTCTGATGAGTTAAAATAGGCCCAAAAAAATTTGAGTAGTTCAAGCTTGACCTAAATGCTTCAATAAAAATATTTTTTAAGAAAATGTATATAATATTATAAATACTAATTAATCCTTTTAATTTTAATTCATTTTATAGGAAGAGATCATGCATTTGAATATATTATTATATATATTTTTTGAAAAAAACCACTTTTTGATATTTTTATTATTTTTAATCTATAAAATATTTAGAATTTTATTTAAAATGTATTTTAATCTTGGTTTTTAAATTTTAAGACCACAAATTTTTTTAAAAAATTGAGTCTTCTATATTTTTTTATATCCCAAAAAAATAATTTATATTTATTATAATCTAAAAATAATTAATTTAAATTAAAAATTGGAATTTATTTTTTTAAAATTTTAAGACATTAAACAATTTTGACATTTAGATTGGCCCGAAAAGATTAGGATCAAATTTAGTTGTTTGAAGCTTGGGTTGAAGCCGTCAATTGGGGGTTGAGGCGGTCAAACTAACCCTTTTAAACTTTAAAAAATCTAGGGCCTAGCTGCTACTTTAATGTGTAAAATGATAAAGCCTTTTTAAGCCATAAAATAAAATGTGCGGCCCCTATTTAAGCCCTTATATATACATATATAATATTAATATAAAAAAATTAAAGACCACTAAAAATCTAAAACCCTAACTTTATTTCATTCGGGTGTTAAGTGTGTTCTCATACCTTCTCCCTTCAATTGATTCTCAAGGCTTCAACTCAAAGAAAAGAATCAAATTATATTGATGTCGATGATAATAAAGATCATCAAAGTTTAGCTGATAGTGCTAGTAAAATTTAATTATCATTGGCGCTAATTTTGTAATGTTGCTATTTTTTATTAGACTTAAATTTATTGTTGTGTGAACTATCTTAAATTTATTTTTCTAGAGTTAATGTTATGTGGAATAACTTTATTGTAATGATAAATATTTTTTTAAATTTTTAAATTTAAAAATTAAAAAAATAGGGTTATGGCTCTCAAGGCTAGCCTTTTAACTCTGAGAAGCAGGATTAAATTGGTCAAAATAAAGGCTTTAAAATATAATCAAATTTAATAAGGGTAGCTTGTTTTAGGTTGGGCCAGTCCTATTTGACATGTCTAATTTGGGCTTTTCATAAGTGCGGCCTACTCCAATAAGCTTACCCGCCTGAATTACCCGGATACGGATGAGCATCGCAATTACTGGCAGGCAGCAAAAGTGCTTCTTCTCTCGTGTCAAGGGACTTAGCCACTTAGGGTTATCTATCTCTCCGTCGCATAAATCGGACTGGCCGTTTCCTTTGCTTCGACCATGGAGACTTCTCTCAGATATGGGGCCGATTCCAAAGCCTTGAGAATCCATGCCAAACAAACACTCCCAATTGACTCCAATACTCACTTGCAGGTTTCTCTTTTGTCTCCTCTCTACTTCTTTCCTATTTGCACGCGTTCTCGAGTATAGAAATGGAAAATTGATAACTGCGCTTTTTAGTTACTTGTAATAGGACTGCCCCTAAGTGTATGGAATTCCATGCCTTAACCGGTTGCTTTTATTCTCGTTCATCTCAGTTGCATGGAGAGCTGGATACCAAATTCGGACGTCCATGTTATTTTAGTGCCTGGCTAAGACATTTGTATCCAGATGTATGTTTGAATTTTTTGGTTATATGTTTACATTAGTACCTATGACTCCTTTTTACCATCGTTATTCTTTTCCGTTTTTGTAGATATTTTGATCTTTCCTCTGATACTTCTGACAATCAATTGTAGTTATCAGCAACCCTTGGTGTAGGATTGCAGTATGATAAATTTGACAGGCTGTGGTATAGTGTACGTGGAAAGAAAACATTCCCTGTGACAAATGATGGATTCCTAAGCTTTAATATTAAGGGACGATCTGATGTTGATAAAGAGTTTAAAGAGGCATGTGTTTTCGTCTGGCTTTAATGTTATTTTGAGGAAAAATGCTTCAATGTAATTTAAGTTGATTTGCGGAGCAAAGCTTCCTTAATTTGTTTGCAGAGGAAGTCCAGAGGAGCTGCTGAGTTTTCGTGGAGCATATTCAATTTTCAGAAGGATCAAGATGTTAGACTTAGAGTCGGCTACGAGGTCCTCGAACAGGTACTAGCCCTTGCCTTGTTGAGTTACCAAATTATGCTGAAGCCAACTGTTCTGCCGGATTATGTAAATCTTTTTCTGTTTTCGGGTGGAGATGTTAATTAAATAAATTCGTGGGACTTCTTCTAAAAGTGAAGTTTTAGTGAATTAATCAGCCTTCATCATGACAGAAGAGTCATGATAAGGGACCAGAGGCTGGTCCCCTTTCTATCTCGCTTCATTATCATGATAGAATGGCGTCGATTTCTATGAGCTGTAGCCGGTTGAGCTTTATGATGACAGTTATAAAATTTCTCTAGATACCAAGCATGCCGATTCGTTGGAGCAGTCAGGTTGTTTAATGGTCATTTAGTCGGATAGCAACAATTTGTTTTTCGGACTCTGACGGCAGATTCTTTGAAGCTGTTTGATTATTTAGTCACTATGTTGAACTACTCTGACTATTAAGTTTTTTTTTTTTGGGGCCAGACTGATTATTCAGTTCAGAACTTTTTTTTTTTTTTTGCATTTTTTGAAGTTAATTGTTTCTTCATATCTCCTTTCTCTTGATGCCTCACTTTGTCTGTCTTAAAAAATATTGTACCAGGTTCCTTATATACAGATCAGGGAGAACAATTGGGTTATTAACGTCGACTATAAAGGTAGATGGAATATGAGATTTGATTTGTGAGAAGGCTAGAGAGCATGTGGTGGAAAGAGGTGGCTGTTGAAAAACCATGAACCCAAAAAAAGAAAAAGAAAAAAAAAGAGGTGACTGTTGAATGCTGGTATTCATTCCTTTTTTATTTCTTTTGATCTTCTAGATTTGAAGGCGACTTTGCAGATACTAGAGTCAATACAATTTATTTTGTAGTAAAAATTTGAAGAATCACTTGGCTCAGGTACTGTTTTTGAGATTGTCGATCTGCACCGGTTGATTATTCATACATTACCGGATTTTGGTGTGGACGATGCCCCCAGAAATTACAATAAAGTCTTGTGCAATCCCTTGGTTTGGATTAGGGTTGTGCAAGAAGTCTAATAACCTGATCAGTCCAATCTGATAACCCGGCCTAGTCTAAACTGAAAAAAAATGGACAACTAGATCCGTTTGGTCACCTGGGTCAGACTGAGGCGGATGGTATGGTTTGACCTACTGTTGTACGTTTTCTTTTTATAAAAAATTATCTTCAATGTGCTGCTTAATGATTGGGGTTCATTCATCCTACAACATCGAACCCTTTTAGTTTATCCTCCCACATTTACCCGTTTCACCACTGTTGCTCTACGTGGCTCTTCTTCGTTGCCGGGTGTTGTAGCTTTTGCTTCGTCCATGATAATTCAAGAATAAAGACAAAGCAGCCGAAGGAAACGAAGTAGTGGGGATGATTTGCAATCTACGATCACAAATCTGCGAGAAAGCGAGGACAAGGTAGCCATGGACAATGGTTGCTCGCTCGTCTGTCAAACCCGTCAGCTCCCAGGTCTTTTTAAGTGGCGTTGGTGCTTAAGCAAGGTTTTCTTTTTGATTCGTATTCACCTACTTAATCCTTGCTCATTGGTTGTTGATTCTGGATTTTGTTTGATATTCATATTTGGTTTGCCTATTGGAATGGTTTTCTATTTCATTTCTTGTCCCTTTCTTTGGCTTTTTTTTTTTTTTTTTTAAAAACTGTTTTGAATAACAAATTTTAAATATAGTTTTTTTTTTTAAAAAAGTTGTTTGGTTGCGTTAATTGAAAAATATTTTTAGAATTAAAAAATGACTGATAGTGGTTGTCATCAATGGTCATTGATGATATTTATGATAGTGATTGTTCTAGTTAAAGGTAATTTACAATTGTCAAATGTGTAGTGTACTTTAAAAATAAAAAAAGCGAAAACAATTTGAAGATGTTTTCATTTTTTATTTTTTAAAGCAAAAAATGAAAACAGTTTTAAAAATAATAAAATCAACAATAGAAAATAGTTTTTAGAAATAGGAAACAAACAAGTTTTTGGTTTTTTAAATTTAATTTTTATTGATTTGGTCAATTGGTCTTTTAAATTTGTTTTAGATATTAATTTGGTACATATTATTTACTATTTGGGTCTAAAACAAAGCATTGCCTAAAATCAGAGGGGAAGGACTGAAATGAGGGGCCCAAGTTTTTAGCGTGCCACGAAAACGTGGGTGGTTTTATATTTATATTTAGATTTATTCAGTTTATAAGTTGTAATTGCCTTTGTATCTTACTTTCCTGATGATCAAAAGCATCTTTTTTTAACACTAATTTTTTTGCATCTTTACATTAGGGTCAATCAAAGTAAGGGAACTTGGAGATCCTATAGTTATTTATCAGATTTTGTTGTTCAATCATAACATCCAACTTGTGAAGAACATTTATGAAGAAGGTGATATGAATAATGAAATATTGATGATTGTCATGAAATTAATGAAAAGAAGTGTAACAATTTATGTAAGAAAAAACACCCAGAAGTTTGAAAAAAAATAAAACAATAAAATGTAGTGCAAGAGGCTATATTAATAAGAGTTAAACTAATTTGAGGATTTATTTGTTTTAGAACTTCAAACCTAATATGATAATTTGTTCTTTTTCAGCTATGTATGCTCATGTACATGTCAAGTCATTATTATATTTTACACATTAATTTAAGGGCTTGTTTGTATTATAAAATTTAAGGACCTAGCATGATAATTTATGAAACTATAAATGATCAAATCAATGAAAGTTAAATTTACAAGGGTTAATGATCAAAATTGATCTTGAATTCTTGTTCTAAAAGCATTTTGAATCTTGAACTTTTAAATTGTGTAAAATAAATTTTAAACTTTTAAACTTATAGTAAATTAAATTTTACTGTTATTTTTTTAAATGTCATCATTGTTCATCGTGGATCTTTGTTAATTAGCAACACAAATTTTAAACTATTAAGCGAGAAGTGTCATGGAACTTGAACTTTAAAATTTTAAGTAAATTATTTTCATAGTTTATATATAAAATGTTAATTATTATGCAGATTAAGCTAGTTTTAGTGTGGTTCATCATAGTGAATGCATCATTCGGCATAATAAATGATCCATAATTTTGTGAAATGTTTTTTTGACTTTTTTTGCAATGTTTTTCAAACAATTGTTACCTATGTTTTTGTATACTTTATAATTCTGATTTAATCTTATTTTAAATAATGTTTATTTATTTAATGGTGAAAATTTGGGATTTCATTTGAAAAAAAATAAATTTAAGCACCATAAAATTTTACAGACGATAGATGTAAAAGTTGATAATTTCATCAACGAATTTAAAATTTAAAGTAATCATTTAATTAAAATTCTTTGATATTTAAACTTATTTTTCAATGAAATTCTAAATTTTCACCATTAAATTTAAAAAATTTAAAATAAAATTAAATTAGAATTATAGAGTATATGAAAGTATAAGATACTAATCATTTAAAAAATATTGTAAAAAAAGAATAAAAAATGTCATTTCACAAAATGATAGGTTGTTCACCACGGTTAACGATGCATTTATAGCAGTAAAAATATGTTGAGGTAAATTTGGTCTACATAATAGTGAACGTTCTATATATAAATGATGGGAGTAATTTATTTGAAATTTTAAAATTTAAGATTCAAAATGCTACTTGCGTAATAGTTTAGGGTTTTCGATACTAATTAACTGAGACCCACAATGACCAATAACGTGAATAGTAACGACATTAAAAAAAAGATAATGGTAGGGTTTAATTTGTTATGAATTTAAAAGTTTAAAATTTATTTTATACATTTCAAGAGTTCAGAGTTCGTAGCGCTTTTTGAGTAAGAGTCTAGGATTTATTTTGCTCATTAATCTAATTTAAAATATCAAATTATCAATTAAGATAAATTTAAGAAATTAAAAGTTTCATTATCTAATATATTCTTTTTCTTAAAAGTAGCAACCAAGAAAAGAAGTATTTTTATTGAGAGATTGATTGACGTTAAATTATCCTTTTTCTTTATTGTAACAAGTAATTTATAACTTATTAAGTATGTGTTTTAATTTTAATATTTTCAAAAATATTTTATCCTCTAAAATATTTTTTTCCACACAAGTATTTTTTTATGAGAAACAATCTTATTCAAAATAAGATCGAACATTAAATGTGTATACTTTTTTAAACAAAGATTCAAATCTTATTTCCGTATGCTATAAGTTTTGATATTGGCATTTATCCATTTAAATTTTAACAACTAAATATCATACTAACTTGTTAAAATAATTGAATTTTAGCAAGTTAGTATGATATTTCATACTCTGCATTATAAGTCATTTATAAATTTGTCAAATAAATATTAAGATATTCAAAAGTATTTAAATTTTAACAAGTATCTATCTGTTGTCACATGCTTTGAAATAAACACACTCTGTTCTATGAAATATCTTATATAAACTATTCAAAAAATTATCAACTACAAGTTTTAATATTGATAAGTGTGTGTTCGAAAATATTTGTTATCTCTAACGTTAACTTAAAACCAACAAGTTAGTTCATTCAACTTTTCTGTAAATTTAATTATAAGTACTTTCCAAAGGTACAATTACATAACCTAATTAACAAGATAACATTTATGTGTCTCCACACAGAACTAATTTGTTTTTTTTTTGGGAGACTTCCGATCAATACTTTCTAATTTTATAATTACAATTCGAAAATATATGATACAACCTTAAATTCTTCATTTAAAAAAAAATCCAATTATTGAGCTTGGTGCAAACCATTTGAAAATATTCTTATGATATATACTTGCCTTTTTAAATTAGGAGCATTTTTTTTGACATTTTGTCTTGAAATATAATTTCATTGAAGTCTTATTGTCCTGCAAAGAAATTTTAGAATTATATGAGCCCAAAATACAATAATATTTCTTTTGAGAGACTTTAATAACATACTTTCTAGTTTAGAAATGGGAGATAAAAAATTAAAAAAAATATACTTTCAATTGATCCAGACAATACTTGAATTTGACTCATTTGTTGGATAGCTATATATAAAAATGAGAAAGTTTTGCTCGAGTTGATTTTGATTTTGATTTTTTGTTAATAGTCAACTAAGATGAATGTTTCTTGAATTAAGAATTTTTTTTGACCAACAATTAAGAATTAAAAAATACAGTAGAAAGAAAGGCAACAAAATTGTGAGTTGAGGGTACGCTATATAAAGAGCCAGAGATGGGGAAGTGGGGAAGGGAAGATGAAAAGTGCGTGTTTAAATAATATCCTCAAATCACATGACTTTCCCATGAAAATTCTGAGCTAGGGGCTTGTAATTTTCTCTTTTCCAATACACCTTATAACATTTCAACTTCTCAATTTTGTTTTTTTTTAAATCATCGACTTCTACATAAAATAAGAGACATTTAAATATTTTGAGGTCTCAAAACGAAGAAGATTTATATTTTTTATAATTTTTCAAAAATAAAGGGTGTATTTGTGATATTTTTCTTTGAAAAATCATAAAAAATACAAATGTTCACCATTTTGAAAAATCAAAATATCCAAATGTCTCTTATTTTATGTAAAAGTTAATAATTCAAAGAAAATGAAAAACAAAATTGAGAAATTGGGATATTACAAAGAGCATTAAAGAAAGACACATTAAAGGTCTTTAGTCTAAAGATTCTTAAGTGATTGACGCTACTCATTTGACTCAACGCCCCATTACCAATACCTCAACTCTGATTTGGTCCTCGTCCTCGACTCTCTCCTTTATGCTCTCATCTGCGTTTTAGGCCTTATGTTCGTCGACTGCTGTGCTTGCTCCTGCTACTCCCCTCCTCCTTTTCTTTTCAATAAAGGCATCAAGAAAAAGACTCTTAGCTCGCTTCCAAAACTCACCATCACCCTGAAATCAATTGTCACTTATCTCAAAATTCTAGTGCTTCCTTAGTGTGGGCATGGTCTCCATGTCTCTTACATCGATAGGTGGCTCAAATCGCACTCATCCTGCCCCTCCTTCCGTCAGATTTTGGCAGTTAGCAGGTGCCACAAGTGTGGTGGATTCCAAGGCAATTCTATTACGCTGACTAAATCAGAGGCCAGAATAGACGGTGTCAATCGATTTTTACCATAGCCTTTTGGGAATTTTTACAAGAAGAGGGAGTTATTGGTTTTTTGGTTGCGTGTAGATTCTTAGAAATTTATGATTACTATAATCTATGGGTATGTTTGGATAACCCAGCATATTTGCTCTAATGTGTTTTTTTTTGTCAAATCCAACAAATAGATAGATATCCAAATATTTTTGTCAACCCACACTATAATTTGACTAGAATTAGGGTGAGAAATAAGGGGCAATGTTGGTGTAATATTTGATTAGTAAGTAGATCTTTCCAGTGAATTCAATATCCTTCCTTAAAATGCAATTTGGTGGATGCTTATATACGGCAGTGATTACATATAGTTAAACTATGCTGCTCAGAAGAGAGAAGGAATAACTGGAAATCATCATCATGATCATCATACTAGTTTTGGGGTAATGAAGGGGAAAAAATAAATCCACCCCCTGGTCGTCTTATAAAATATTGTAAACACAGGCCCAAAATTCCTTGACGCCAAAAGTAAAAATAGCTTCATTTGTCAAA